GGTGCCTCTCTTTTATAGCCAACAAAAACCTAGTCCTAATAGAAGCCTAACTTCTATGGACTCAAGATTACTGCTAATCTTGGACTCCCAGTAAGATTAGGATAAACTCTCTAAGAGTTTTATCTTAATACAAACTGAAATCTTCTCTCATTCTAGGACTCTTGTTCTTTATCTGCTTATCTCGGATTCCAATATCTTCGGAGATAACCTCGGCTTTGCCGAGATCACCTCGGCGTCACGACCAGGACACGTGGCACCTCGGCTGACACGTCGGCGTCACCTTGCTACGTGTTGGTACTCAGAAAATATATCCCCACAATATTGAACCTGATAGAAGAATAATGATGGAGTCATCTATGGCTGATTATTTAGTATGTGAGAGTATTCGTAGAGAGATTGGAAGAGAGATAAGAAGATTTTTTTTTCCGTAAAACAATCGTTTTGTATTTTATTTTTATGAGAGAGATCGTTATTTTGTATTATGATGATTCCATGTTGGAATAGAATAGCTATTCCTTAACTTCTCATATGAAATGTGTATTTTCACTTTGTTGGAATGTGCATTCTCATGAAATAACTATTCCCACTTCACTAAAGCATACCAAACGAGGGGAAGAGAATATAAAGCTAGAATAGACATTTCATTCCAATTCATTCTATCGTACCAAACGAGCTCGTTATGTTTATATACATTCCATTTCAGCTCATTCTATCGTACCAAACGTGCTCTTTATGTTTAGAGAGGAAAGAATTTTAAAATGGGATTCAGAGGGTGTTTTTAACCAGATGATTTTTAAAAGGTAATTCTATTTACACACTATTAATTCTCTCAGTATATATCATTTGGCTATTAAATTTATATGATAATAATATCCTCAAGTAAAATGACTATTAATAACAATATGGGTATGTATTCAACTGTTCACACATGAAAACACAAATATCTCTATACACATCATTGCTTAAAACAAATCTCTTTTCTATTTATTTTTCAAACTCAAAATATTATTATTTTGAAAGATTTAGAATTTTAAAACATTGAAATCAATTTATTTTAAAAATTTACATACTATAGATAACATTGATTTAGAACAAAACAACAATGAAAATGTCAGTTTACTTTATTATTTATCTTGTTCGTATTGATTTGTAACAAAAAATTGATGTTCATTTTACAACAATGGTTTATTCGTTTTGTGCACACCCAGAGTTGAACATTTACAAAATGTTCAATTATTTATATTTGAACAGAATTATTTTGTTCATATTATTAAAGTTGAACAAGTATTAAATGTTCGTACATAAAAAATTGAACATTTTGTTTTTGTTCGAATATAAATTTTTAGACATATTAAGTTTTTTAACACTGTATTTATGAACAATATTAAAACTATTTTTTGTTTAAATTTTTGCAGAATACCACACCGATTACTTCATTGCCGTAAAATTTCAACCCAATATTTAGTTCTTGTCGTTTGCTCTCATGTTGCTTCCATATAGTCAACACAAATCGGGGAGAGAGAGAGAGAGAGAGAGGAATCTAAAATTATCGTGAATTGTAGACCTTATTGTCTTTTCAACTTTGATGGTGTGTACATCATCTTGTGTCAAATTGTGTATTGTGTTGTGTGGGTGTGAAAATCCATCTTTTAATTATTCTTTAAAGAAAATTTATTAATTAATTTTGTCTACAGTCTATCTGAATTATACATTAGTGTAAAAGTTAGTTTTAAATTGACTCAAATCAATCACTAACAAGACATTATTAAGAATAATAATTTTGTGGGTGTTCAATATTTGTTGTTTATAAATTATTTTAATTATGATTCAATATAATAACTATTCTTACTAAATACCTTAGTTAAAAATCTTAGTGTGTCAATTTTCAGAAACCCACACCTTAACGTACACACAGTCCTGCCCCCTAATGTGAACATAAGTTGTACTTAGGATCACATTAGGGAAGTTGGCTTCGTGCCGTAGTCACAGACCTGATGTGTTCTGCTTTCACCAATGTATTAAAACTTCTGGTATTTAATGCACCCCCTTTAGACCCTCTTTCTCTTGGCCTTTGCAAACTATCATTGCTGTTTCTTGAAACATTTATTTCTTTCACAATTCTGGTCACCACTTCTAGCGTGCACTTAGTGGTTCTGTTCTAATCAAAACGACGTTTGACTCCGGCGAATCTTTTGCCAACATTTAACTTTGTGCACTCTCAGAATTCCAACAATTGTTAAACATCATTTCTTTTTAACTTCGGTTTAAACATCATCTCGGCTTAACTTCGGTTTAAGCATCATCTCAGTTTAACTTCGGGTTAAACATACTCTCGGCTTAACTTCGGTTAAGCATCATCTCAGTTTAACTTCGGTTAAACATCATGTCGGTTTAACTTCGGTTAAGCATCACTTCAGTTTAACTTCGGTTAAACATCATCTCGGCTTAACTTCGGTTAAGCATCACCTCAGTTTTTGAAGTTTTTCCTTTTTTGTCGCTTATACTCTTGTACCTTTTTGTTTTTTAAGACAATGTAAGCTCTGCATATGGCCGATGTGCCTCCTTGTTCTTGAATGTCTAATGCAACTTTCCTTCTCTGAATGCTTGTGCCTTTGTCTTTTCTTGACTGCCTTTGCATGATTCTATACTTAAAATATTTTGCGTGTCTTTAGTATGCTCTTCCTTCTTTGTGCAACCTTCTCGGGGTGGCATACCTTGGGTATACAAACTGATGATTTACCTCGACAATAACTTGTCCTGTAAACTTTGCATAAATTCCAACAGATATAAAACACATACTGTTTTAATTTCAACCTATAAACTTTCCTTATGTTATAACAAGTGTTAAATAATGATCTACTTGTAAATTGCTACAAATTTCAACAAGTGTTTAAATGATATACTTAGCTTTTACTTCAACCAGTAAATTACTGCAAATTTCAACGGATGATCATATGTCGGCTTAACGTCATCTTGTAAATTGCTACAAATTTCAACAAGTGTTAAGCATCTTCTTCGAGGGCTTAACTTCAACTTGTAAATTGCTACAAATTTCAACAAGTGAAGATAAGGAATAATCTCGGCTTAACTTCGACTTGTAAATTACTACAAATTTCAACAAGTGAAGATAATGAATCAGCTTAACTCCAACTTGTAAATTGCTACAAATTTCAACAAGTGAAGATAAGAAATCGGCTTAACTTCGACTTGTAAATTGCTACAAATTTCAACAAGTGAAGATAAGGAATAATCTCGGTTTAACTTCAACTTGTAAATTGCTACAAATTTCAACAAGTGTTAAACATATTCTTCTTCTCTCTGCCTCTTGCTTGTTGGATCCATTGTTACCTTGGCCTCGCTTTGGAAAGTCGTTTCTTTTCTCATGTTTTTTATAAGCCTCTACATCCTTTTGTCCGTAGGGTCACCAGAATCCCTTTGATATGGTTCTGTAGGCAAGGGATCTGCCCCGTGCATAGCTTCCACATACTTCTTTGTGGTCTTTACAACAGGTCTTCATCTTGGCTAACTTCAGTCCGATATGTTTCTTTTTTATCTTTTGGGATCTGAGATTTGCTCACTGAGCTCTTCTCTTCTCGGGTTTAAGTGCCGAGCTCTTGTCTTTTGGAATCTTGGATCTGTTCATTCAGGTTGAGCTCTTTTTTTCTCGGGCCCACTTATCTAGGCTGAGATCATGTCTTCTGGAATCTTGGATCTGCTCATTCAGGTTGAGCTCTTTGAATGTTATTTTCTTGGGAGCACTCATGCCCCCTGTCTTTGTATCCCTTCTGGAAGGGTCTTCATTCCGATTATGTCGACATATTCTCCATCCTTGCTAAACTAGTCATTTCCGACACGTTGATCTTGTACAGTGGTGGCCATCTATTCTCCTTTCGTTTTCACAGACGGCGCCAAATTGTGTAGGTGATTTTCCGACCACACTGCCCGCTTAGTAACCAGTTGGAGAGCACTGGCAGAATAGACGGCATCTGACTGACCTGCAACAGAAATATAAGAATTTCGCGGGGGTTTCGACCACCAGGGGGCACTCTGACGATCAAGTCAGTATATCTCTCGAAGATAAATCAAGTACTAAACTCACAAGCTTGAGTATCAAAAGTATACCTTAGACCCATGGGGGTGCCTCTTATTTATAGCCAACTCAATCCAAGTCCTACTCAATGCTCTGCTAAAAGCTGAAAGTTTAGCTTGAGTTGTGTCGCAACATATCTACCTCAACACAATCAATCAATTTTTCAAATTAATGTTATTTTTAGATCTTGAATTTATAAGAGAAAGGAAAATGAGAAATATAAATTCAACTTTTTCTCATTTTCCTCTTATCTTTTTCTTTCAATTTACAAATCTCTCCACAAATTCATGATCCAAAAATTGCGGAATGTATATATCTCTTCAAGCATATCTTGATATCCACCATTGTCTTTTCTTCTTCTTCTTCTTCTTTTTTTTTTGAGAGGGGGGGGGGCCGCCAAAAAAAAAAAAAAAAAAAAAAAATTTGTTTGAAGATATTCATGTTTCTTATTGTTTCTTTCAAGCCTCAATTGCACCTAATCAACTATAAGGTTGTGTTTTGATCTTGAATTTGTTAAAAAAAAAGTTGTGGAAAGAAAACAAATGAAAGAAAATTATAAATAAAAAATAGTTATTATTTCATTCATTTTCTCTTTTATTTTCTCTCTACAAATTCCTTTCAGAATCCATAATCTAAACAACCTAAGAAAACAAGAAATATCTCACTGTGAAAAAATAATTTAAACTATTGGTATCAAAGAGAGTTTTCAGTAACTTATTTCTGAAAACACTCTAACATAAAAAATTCATAATTACAAGCTTAAAGAATAGAAATATATATATATATACATAAATGATGACTCACTAAATTTTCTTCCAATAGACACAGGCAGTAAGGTCCATGCTAATAAACACACGTGAAATCCATGCCTTCGTGTCAAATCATATGTTGCCCGAGACTTTTGTGGTTACTATGCTAAATCTTCCCCACAAGATGCTGCAATTTCCTTGACTACCAAAGCTCTTGCCCTATTAATGGTTACAAGGGACAAATATACGTGTTCTTCAAGTTCCTCCACTTGTTTCCTAAACCCAACATCACTCTTCTTAAGCTCCCTTAATACTTGCAATGAAAATTTATCTTCCCTCCTCTCCAAACAGAATTGTATCATTGCCTTGTTGTGTTCAATCTCATCTTGAAGCCTTGCCACAAGTCTACTCACAGTGTCAAAATCCCTATTCAAAATATAAGTCCCTTTAGCTGCTACATCGAGTTGCTCTCCAACTTTCCTCAAAAACCCACTTCTCAGAAAGCGAAAATTAAGTAGTTTCTTCTTCAATGGATTTATGGGTAAGCTGAGGATCGCGGGGCCCATCACTAGTGCAGTAAGTGTATGTGCTGCTACAACAATGGCTGCCGTGGCCACCAAGCCACAAGCCGCGGTCACACAAATGCCAGATGCCTTGTTGAAGCACTTTATCAATTTGATCTTCCTTGCCACCTTTTTTCTCTTTGATTTGAGAAGGTACAACACCAAGGAGTACTTGTCGTGAATCAACTTAAAATCCTGTTTATCAAGACTAGAAAATGGATTGTTGAGAACGATGAATGAACGTAGTTCAGAGATAATGAATCCGAGTTGTTCAGGAGAGTAGTCATCAATTATATTGAGCACGCCTTGAATGAGCTTATAGTTAGATTGAATTTGGTTGATGCTTATGAGGAGATGGCTGCAAATTTTGGAAGCTTCGGCACTGATATCAAAGTAGTTTAGTATTAGGGCTTTGAGATCGGATTTCTTGGAAAGAGTTGCTGATTCAAGAATAGTAGTTATGGTTTCTTGTCCCGGTTCAAGGAGGATTTCAGAGAACGTGTTATGGCAGTAAGGTGGAGATGCTGGTGAATTTACTAGTAATTGAGCTTTTGTGAAGAAATCGGCATAAGATTTGGTTCTTAATGCGCAAAGATACTCCTCATTGACATTAAGGCTTTTGCAAACATTCATAGATTTGTTCCCATCTGCAACCCAAAACAAAATTTTGAAATTGTATATTAGCAGTCAAATATTTGAGGCTTCAACCCTAATAATCAAGATTATATGTGATTACTATGCAAAGTAGTAGATTTAATCGTCGAATTAGAGCAATGAAAATTTTAGGTTATGGAAACATGTATGCAATCTTGTTTTATTCATAGATCATGTAAAAATGGAAAGGAGGAAAGAAACTGAAGGGCACACCAACAATCAACAAATACATAATACACCATGAGACTAAAAATGCATAGAATTACATGAATGCGTGAGAAAAAAGAGAAAGAAAAAGAAAAAGAAAGGAACTCATACATTTGAGAAGGATTTTGATCCTCTTCATTTTATTTATAGATGAAATAGAGATCTCGATAGAGGAAAACTATATAGCGGATTCTCTCATGTCAAAGTAAAAGAAAACAAAAAGAAAAAATAAATAAATAAAAATCAATAATAAAATGTCATTTTTTAGCTCGCTCTTGAACATTATTAATTATAAATGTAAAGAGGACCTCCATACATATTGTTTAGTCATTTGTTTCTCAAACTGTCTCCATGAAAAAAGAGTACTAATTGATATTAAATGATAATAAACAATTAGTCAAAATATCCAGTTCAAGAAAAAAAATCTCTTATATATATATATATATATATTTTTTTTTATTTATTCCAAAATATTATCATCCTTAATGTTAAACCTTATATATATACACACTTTATGTTTCTGAATCTACAAAAATATCTAACAATTGTTGAATTACCAAAACTGAAAATTAGAATTTATGACATAAAAGAAATAAAGAAGAAGAAAAAAATACCTTTCTTGATCTTGGAAGCTCTGAGTTTTGCCCACATCTTGAGGTTATGTGAGAAGAATAGTTGATGATGGTTGCAAGTTATAAAGGGACAGCTTTGAATTACGTCAATCTGAAGATCTAAACTGAGCTAACTAGAGAGAGAGTTTAATACACCCAAGTAAGGCTTTCTTGTGTTAAGACAAGGAAGGCAAATGAAGAAGGGGCTTTATAAATAAGCACCTCATCTTGGTAGGTTGTCTTGTCTGTTATAGAGATCATCAATGAATCTCTTTTAAAAGCCACTAAAAAGGCATTTTTTAAGGATTGTGTTTCACGTTATGCTTATAGCTTTTTTCTCTCTAATAACTCCAAGAAAGAGAGAGAAAGAGAGGTCTTCTCCAATATGTATGCAAGCTACTTTAGGGCTAAATTGCTGAAGAGCTCTCTTTGTGAAGAGGAACTTTATTGCATATGTCTGTGGTATAGCCTCCCTTATCTTTTTTGTTTTTGCCTTTGTATGTATGTATGTGTATATAGCTTGTTGTTTGGAAGTTACATAACTTTTATTTAGTTATACAACATTTTAAACCATATACATGTAAACGGGTTGTAATGGAGGAAAGTTAACATTGCTTTAATTACCTACGTGATAATGTATGATTCTAGTTATTTGAGTTACGTATAGTTTTTTATTATTATTGTTATTATTATCACGTGAATTCATTTTAGAGTGTTTAATGTAACTTCTGTTTATAATTATGAAAGAAATAGCTTAAATAAGTTTAAAAAAATTAATTATCTGAAAGTTAGAGGATTGGAACTTTTAATTTCTATTTTTTTATTATTAATTTTTAGAACAATTGCATCAAACAAGCACAATGTACTTTGTTTATGATGAATGGCCAAACAATAATGTTACTCAGATTCCGTTTGGCAATTTTCAATTTTAGTCGAGAAGTTAAAAAATTAATATAAATTGTCACATCACTCTCTCTATTTTATTTATTTTTGCATATCTTTTCATAAAAAATTAAATATTACTAAAAAAACTTATTCCTAAATGAGAAAAATATATATATAGGCTTTGAATGGCAAAAACAGTAATTCCCTTTAAAACTTATTTTTCTAAATATTTTTGTGAGTATGTAGGCTTTTGAATGGCAAAAATAGTGATTCCCTTTAAAATGATATCAACAAGCTATCAGAATTTCATATCATTATCCTCTCTACAATAATCTTGTTATAATAATTTAATAATTCAAATTTTAAGTTGAAATAAAATAATTTAGTATTAGAATTTATAATCTAAGATAAGAAGATATAATTTCACTATTAATTTTAATTTTAAACTTTAATTATTAAATTTCGTCTTTTAATAAAGTATTTCATTGTGATAAAATCATAATAATAAGAATCATAATTGGTAACTTGAATTTCATCTTGTCCTGTTGATAAGATGACAATTACAATAGACAAATGTTATTACAAAAATAATAATAATAATAAAATGACAGAGAATCCAAGTGGATCAATAAGATGCTGACCTGACTGCACAAATCACTAAGTTGTTTTTTGGTTCATCATACTCCAATCATTAAGTTGTAGCTTTGATTCAACCAATAATGGACAAAACTTTGAACAAGCTCCATATTTGTCCTTTTCTAAAATGAGGTATATCATGATTATGCTATGTTTTCTCTAGGAGTCGTAGCTTCATGGCTTTCATTTGATTGTAATCATAAGAAAAAGTTTTTTTTTTTGGGGGTGAATATAAGAAAAAGTTTATCAAGTTTCCATTGCCATCCTAATCATCAATTCGATTTTTTTGGTTAAAATTTATCAAAAAAATATAAAATAAAATAAATTAAAATAGTTAATAAAATAAAATGTCATATCAAATTTATAATCATTTCAATTTTTTTCTGACAAATATCAGATTCAATTACAAAAAAAATCTAATTATCTTTTCAAAAATAATTATTTTAACTTACTAAAATAACTAACTATCCAAACAAGGCCAATTTTATCATGTCATTATTCCTTATTCTATTCCTCAAGATTTTTGTAATTGTAAGTTCTAAATTCAAAATGTATAACAAAGAAGAAGAAAAAAAATCCCATTTCAATGAGTTTGGATTTAGACTTTTATGTTCTTAAAGTATGTTTGTTTTCTTATTTTAAAATTATTGTAATTGTTGAATTATATGAAAATTTTAAAATGCAAAAGAGTTTTGAGATATGATCTAATTGTTATTAACATTTTAAGACAAAACAACAAAGACTTAGCAGAGAATCTTGTGTTGTATTGTAAATCAATTTTAAAGCATATGCAATGGTAATCAATGTAAACATTATTCTAACATTAATATTACAATAATAATAATAATAATAATAATAATAATAATAATAAAATGACAGAGAATCCAAGTGGATCAATAAGATGCTGACCTAACTGCACAAATCACTAAGTTGTTTTTTGGTTCATCATACTCCAATCATTAAGTTGTGGCTTTGATTCAACCAATAATGGACAAAACTTTGAACAAGCTCCATATTTGTCCTTTTCTAAAATGAGGTATATCATGATTATGCTATGTTTTCTCTAGGAGTCGTAGCTTCATGGCTTTCAGTTGATTGTAATCATAAGAAAAAGTTTTTTTTTTTGGGGTGAATATAAGAAAAAGTTTATCAAGTTTCCGTTGCCATCCTAATCATCAATTGGATTTTTTTGGTTAAAATTTATCAAAAAAATATAAAATAAAATAAATTAAAATAGTTAATAAAATAAAATATCATATCAAATTTATAATCATTTTAATTTTTCTCTGACAAATATCAGATTCAATTACAAAAAAATCTAATTATCTTTTCAAAAATAATTATTTTAACTTACTAAAATAACTAAAAACTAAAATAACTAACTATCCAAACAAGGCCAATTTTATCATGTCATTATTCCTTATTCTATTCCTCAAGATTTTTGTAATTGTAAGTTCTAAATTCAAAATGTATAACAAAGAAGAAGAAAAAAAATCCCATTTCAATGAGTTTGGATTTAGACTTTTATGTTCTTAAAGTATGTTTGTTTTCTTATTTTAAAGTTATTGTAATTGTTGAATTATATGAAAATTTTAAAATGCAAAAGAGTTTTGAGATATGATCTAATTGTTATTAACATTTTAAGACAAAACAACAAAGACTTAGCAGAGAATCTTGTGTTGTATTGTAAATCAATTTTAAAGCATATGCAATGGTAATCAATGTAAACCAACCTATTTTATCCAGAATCCTCTAATTTGAAAAATTATTTTTCAAAGAATAATAATATATAAACATAAAATATGTACATAAAAGTAATGTATTGAATATTTTAAATAAAAATAATTAAAAAATCATAAGAAAATGTCATGGATCCATCCTATTAATTAACAACTATACTACAGCCCCTAATATATATAGCACCATCATTTTGACCTCTAATGGGTGGAAGAGAGAGAGAGAGAGAGAGATAGAGAGAGGAGGGGTGAAGAGTATGGGCCGATCCTTTCACATGATCCATTTCATGTCATTATGAGTCGATTAATGATGTTCCATTAGTACTCCCAAGCATTTTTCATTATTAAATGACACTGTATGAAACTTTTGAAATTATAAGTGTCTCCTTTGAAAACTTATTTGCCAATATAAGGAACACATACAATTCTGATCTTATTGATATGAATTGGGGGTGGGCGCGAGTCGGTTGTGGTCACAGAACCTCCAATCCACCATCCGTCCGCCAGATTGACGGATTGAAGAAAATCAATCTACATCTGTCCATCAAACCGACGGATGTAAATTGAGCGGATTGATAGATGGATGTGAATTAATTTTGTGATTTAAAATTTTATAAATTTTTAACATAATTCAACTTGTACACTTACTTAAAAAAAAAATATTACAGTCAATGACTTAAAAAAGTATTACAATTACTGCATGCCTCATCCAAAGAAAGAAATTTTAAAACTTTAGAATATTACAATCATTACATGTCTCATTCACATATTATAATCACAGCATATCTCATCCATATAAAGTATTACAATCTATTTTTCTTAAAATATAAAAATAATTCAAACCACCAAAATTATGAACAAAGCAATAGTAGAGATTGTATGCCTCTGTATTGTTGCATCTATATTTGTTTTTGAAAACAAAAACCAACTAATATATATCATCTTTTTTATTTATTATTTTTATAGTTAGATTTAAAAACCAAAAAATATAAATAAATAATACATTTATTTTCAATTCAAAAAATATATTCAAGTTGAAAACTCTTTTGCAACAGAATATATTCAACAGAATATTTAAACTCTTTTTCAATTGAAAACACAAACAGAATATCTAACCAAATTGAAAATACAAAGTCTTACAAATTACTAAGGGTGTTCGCGGTTTGGCGGTTCGGTTGCGGCCAAAGAAATCTCAAATCCAACATCTGTCCAAAACTAAGCGGATTCGAAAAAATCAATCCGTAACCGTCCGCTCGTCATCACACATCCATCCAAAATGCGGCAGATCGATTTGGGCATATTGATATATCCGCTGCTCATGCCTAATGCTATTCATTCACAATTATGAAAGAAAATTCACATTCGACATTTTGATTCAAGAAGCTTTTTTTCTCTACGCACAAAAGTGTTTAGTTCACATATTTAGTATAATTTTTTTAATTACAATTTTACTCTCGAATTATCTTTTTAGACAAAACTTTAAATGCCACTTTTTTATTAAATGTTGTGAACGTTCCTCTTTACACCCCTATTTTCTTTCCTCACCCCTTGCGCTTCGAACCCCCTTGGGCAAACCCTTGCTTCTTGCAAATGTCCCTCCACCGTGAATCCCCCTAGCCGTAAATCCTCTACACAAAAACTCCCTTGAATCCCCTCCCGCCGCAAACCCCCTTCCAACCGATCTCTCTCTTTGTCGTGATCCAACTTATCTTTCGCTTAATCTAACCACTCACACTCTCTTTATTATCTCTCATCCTAACCATTGTTGACTAGCCATGGCAAG